GTGACAGGTTCATTAAAATGAAAATGAATAAACAAAAGAAAAAGTCAGTATTTTTTTCCCTTTTAGCAATGCTTTGCATTCCATTTAACATGTGGTAGAATTCAGTACATAAAGCAAAAGCAAAGCAAAGCGTGCTGCTTATGTACCGCCCCATAGTGCTTCAAGCACTCTCTGGGTGGTTTACAAGTTAATTATGCAGGCTATACATTGCCCCCCCCCCCAGCAAGAGTGGGTACTCATTTTACCGACTTCATTTTACCCAACCTTGAGCCGCCTACCTGGGACTGAACCCAAAGTCGTGAGCACAGTTTTGGCTGCAGTACAGTGGTTTAACCACTGTGCCACGAGGCTCAGTAGCTAGTAGCTCCCCACAGTGGAATAAGCAGCAAGTGGAATGGGCAACCTACTTCTGTGCAGACAACAGCACCACTGAAGATTAAGTCCACCATTCACATAAGCACAAGGAAAGATGAAAGTGCATAATGTATTTTTAATCCTTCCAAACTGAAGTATCCTCCACTTCTCTTTCATGTTGTTTTGCAAAATTTCTTCTTAGAAAGTGTCTTGTGGTCCACAGAATGTAGCAGTTGACTGGAAGGGAGGCCGCACTATAGTCATCTAAGCCTGAGCATGTGTGGAAGGGTCTAGATAATTCTGTTTAATTGAACGATTTTTTAAAAAGACATTCACTTGAGCCAGTGAGATTAATGGTGAAACAACTCTAGATGTTTTAAATCTGCTGGGGTTGTTTGCAGGTTACAGTGGTGCCTCGCTTAATGATTGCCTCGCTTAACGAGGAAATCGCTTGACGATTAGGTTTTTGTGATCGCAAAAGTGATGGCAAAACGATGGTTTAAATGGGAAAAATCTGCTTCACGATGATCGGTTCCCTGCCTTGGGAACCGATTTTTGCATTACGACGATCTAAAAACAGCTGATTGGGCCACCGGGTGTACAAAATGACCCCCCCGCTGTTTGTCCACTGCTGGTATAAGTAAACCAGAGGCGAAAATTACCTCTCCAGTTGTTTCTCCAGTATGCTGCACCCTAAAGACCAGCCTTCCCCAGCCTTAAATTATCCAGATGTTTTTACTACAACTTCCGCCATTCTTGACTATTGGATATTCTGGGTGTGGATGACATCTGTCATTTTAAATGGCCAGTGATTCACAGTGCTGCTACACCGACTTCCTAGCTGCTCAAACAACAAGCCACAATTTCTTTGGTAGGCAAGAGTACCCATAGAAGTTATTTCTGTTTGCTGTGGAGTTTTGTTTTTTTTTTAAAAAAACCTGTGGATCTGGAGCACTAATCCAGCACCCGCAAGTAAAGAGGGTAGGCTAAAACAGGACATATCAGATGTCTTTCTCAAACCATTCTTATGATATCCACCTGGAACCTTCAGTGATGGCTTTTAAAAGACTTCTGAACACACGGCTATTCAGACAGGCCTTCCAAAATATTCCAGCTACAGAACTCAGAGTTTCTTTGAACGTTTAAGCCTATTATTCCACCATCTTGAAGACTTTAGTAAATGTTTTTCACATTGTATTTGTTAGGATTTCAATTTTAATGATTAGATCATCTTTATTGCTTTTTTATAGTATTGTTATGTCTATGTAGTTATTATTGTCTTGTCGTGAACCGCCCAGAGTGGCCTTTTAGCCAGATGGATGGTACACAAATTAAATACATAAACACACACACACAGAGAGACCAGCCAACAGAGAACAAGGCAGAACAGGGAAAAACTCTCAAGACGCCTCCTTCTCCACGGCATACATGGTTTGCACAGAAAACTGGGCAGCTGTTGGGCTAGATCTTCAGGGCCGCCCGAGAATTTTGCCCTGCTCTCCAAGGACCATAGTCTTTACCCCTGATTAATATGGGCCCCTCTGCATATAGGCTGATAAGTGCTCACTTTCATTCCTGATTGCTATTCACCACTCACTTCCTTGGCCTCTCGTTCCTTCTGATGTCTTGGTGGCAAGTTACGGAAACACCAAAAGGATTCTGGCCATTTTTTCTTTTTCCCATTTCCGAATAATCAGCTATCAGTAATTTAACAGTTGTTCATAGGCATGAAATTACACAACTCTCATCACTATACATAGACTTTCTTCCTGAGCTTCTTCAGGCCAGATTAGACATGGCTGTTTTCTATGGAGAATTTGTGCAATCATTATTTTATTGACTGTTTTATCTGATATTTGATAGGTTTTGCTGCTCACACTCATCTGATCTGCTGCTATAAACTCAATATTAACTTTGGTTTTTCTTTTGCTGACATATATTCTTTGTTGCTCCAGACATTTATGTTAAACATTTAGAACAGTATAGAAACATCTCTAAAGAACATAAGAAAAATTGCCCTTTTGTAGGCAATGGCTTGAGTCTGAATTGTAACTACTAAGAGATCAGCTTGTGATAAGATTTTTCTGTTGTTCTCTCTGTTCATAATAAATAATAATAATGTCCCATCAAGACAATTCTGACTTATGGGGATGCTTTTTAAGGTTTTCCAGGTAGAGAGTACTCAGAAGTAGTTTACTACTTTCTTATTCGGGGGCATCCTGGAACTGTGCAACTTGCCCAAGGTCACACTGGTTGAATCGACTCATAGGAGGCACAGTAGGGAATTGAACTTTTAGGTACTTAAACCACTGAGCTATCCAGCCAGCCGTTCATGGTACAGATCTTCAAAACTCTGCTCAAAGAGGTCTGGGGCACTCTGAAAATGTTTGAGAAGTCATGTACCCAAAGTGTGTAGCTTGGAAGCTTGGACATTTTTTATTTTTTATTTTTGCTAAATTAGGCACTTTCCCTGTATAATCAGGGAATTTCTACAAAACTGCCTTCTGTTTTGATCACCACCAGATCCCAGCTCCTACTCCCCTGGCTGTTGACTAGAAAGGAAGCCTCAAGGTGAACAGACTGTTACGAAGCAGAACATTAGACTCCAAGTTATTGCTAGCATTCTAACAAATAAAAAAGAGAAAAATGTACAATTATGGATAAAATAGAGAAATATTGCTATTGGAAGTTGTAGGGCCAGGCCTCTGTGTCAGGCAGTGTCCCCTCGGAATCCTATTTTAAAAGTTATTATTTCAATACACACAGACACAAACACTTAGCTGGCTCTGAAAGGCCTACACAGTCATATGTTAATGTAATTAGCATAAACAGCACATGCCACGTCAACACAGTGGCTGAAATCCTATTACGCTGCTATTCAAATAGTAGATCTTTTGGGGAAAAAATGACCTCTAAGAAATTTCCATAAACATTACCTGTTGTATACTAATTCATGTGACTTGGTGTGCAATGGATAGTGTCTATGAAGATTTCTTAACTTCAGGCAATTCACTTCTGAAAGTTCTGCCTTTTGTGTAGCAGTGCAACAGAATTTCAGCCACTGTGTTGTAGTGGAAGGTGCTGTGTGTGCTAATTATGCCAACATATCATTGGCGCAGATTTCCATTCATATTCTGGAAAAATTAATGCAGAGCCTCTTGGAACTAGGTCAGGCAACTCTGGTGCCTCCCATCTTAGTGGGTGTCCCTTCCTACTTATTTTTCTGGGTGAGATGATGGGCCAGCTTAATGATGAGCTGCACTCTTTTACTAAGGAGTAATAATAGTTACAGTCCTCCAATAAGAGCATCAGTTGGCTACTGGTGGAACTGTCTGCAGTACACAATGTAATACTGTGGTCATATACAGTATTACAGTGGCCATCCTCATAGCTGAATCGTTAGCAAAGGGGGCCCAGGGTGGCAACAAGGGGCCTTTGGGAACCACCTAAAAATGTAATCTAGGAATTTTAGCCCTGGGAAGGGAAACAACTGACACATGGTAGACACATTAGATACTAATCTTAGAGGCCTTATTCACACATCTCAAAATCCATTTTTGAAAAGAATGGCTGACAAAGACTAACCAAGGAGCTAGTCCATACATTCAAAATAAAAGCATCTAAAAACTTTTTTGCACAATCCAGAGTGCTACTCACGTGGACCTGTCTAACGTGAGATCAAGGCAAATCAAGCAAGTGACAGCTAATCTCATATTCACAGAGCTATTTTTTTCCAGTTACCACAATCACAGGAATTGCTGCTAGCTCTGTTTCACAACTGCCTGATTCATGTTTCATTTATTCACTTTTATCTAGGGACAGCTGGGACAGCTTGCATATAGAATTTAACATGTGAACAGGTGCCAATTCTTAAACATTCTGGTATGTGGATATTATAATGTGGTGAACAGCTCTCTAGTACAAAAAAGTTTTCTGCAAAAGAAGAAAGAATAACTAGACAAAGTAAATGTAGTTTGTCCACTTCAGGGAAGGAGGCATCACTTGAACATTCTTTTGATGAATCCACTTTTCTGGTTTATTAAAAAGTGTATTGGATTTAACCATGCAGCCTCTGCATTTAATCTGAAGTGTAGATACAATTTTTATTTCTTCCTTTCTCCCGTTTCCAGTCCTTGAAGGAATTCAGGCGTTGTACAAACCCCTCAAAAGAATAAACTGAAAGCGAAACACTTTAAAAAAAGGTGGCCACAGATATCTTCTTACTTGTCCTACAGAAGAAAACACTTATAATCCTGTTTACAGAGACAGGAAAAGTTACTTTTTTGGATTACAACTTCCAGAATTGTCCAGCCAACATGGGAGGTTCTGGAAGTTATTGTCCACTTAAAGTAATATTTTAAAGCTCTTCCCTTTGACCGAATGAATTACAGTTGTACATAACTAATACATTCCAATATTCATGTAAATTAGATATATACAACTACTGTTGCTTTTTAATGTATGGGGCAATCGACCAAAAATTAAACTAAGTAGAAAAGTTAGTAAGGGTCTAACTGAGGGGAAAAAAACCCCTATTTCTCCATAAGTACTTATTTTGTATTTAAATCTGATAGCTGTGTACTAATGAAAGATAAGGTTAGGCTTACATATCTATGGTGCTATAGGCTATAGAAATATCTACTCACAACCTGCTTGTATCTCAGGGGGAGTATTCAAAAGCATCATGGCAGTGGCAGCATCAATGTCAGGATCTGGAAAAATCAACCAATAAATACATTAATTTACAAGTGGGCCAATTCCCACCCCTGCTAGTTTACAGAATGAACTGAATCTCTACAGTGACCAGAGTTCCAAATAAAGATTAAGTCAACAAAAAATATTATTGGGAAAAGGAAGGAGTGCTAGTCAAATCAGGTTTGGCCTCTCACTAGAACCTAGAATGAGTAAATTGAGGCTATCATACTTTGGATGTATCATAAGAAGACAAAACTCACTGGAAAAAGCAATAATGCTGGGAAAAGTTGAAGGCAGCAGGAAAACAGGAAGACTAAATAGGGATGGAGTGACTCAGTAATGGAAATGATAGTCTTTACTTTGCAAGACTTGTGGAGAGCTGTTAACAAGATCTTCTAGAGGTCATTAATTAAGTCAGGAGTGATTGGACAGCATGTAGCACCACCACTAGTATTCACGAAAAAATGCTATATGGTCCCATGACTACAGTTAAAGCAGCTTTCTCTGGAATCTGTTTCCATTCCACCTTTGTCTGGAGTGGTAGGTCTATTGCAAGAGTCTTGTGGCATCTAAAAGACCAAGTGCAGAACCGTGTTGTTATTTACTGGATACAGAACTACAACTAGAAGCAGTTATTTAGTGAGGTGCTAGCATTGTGATCAACAACTTGTAAAACAAATGTAGCTACTTTTATTTCTATGACAGTCATTCTGCTTCTGCTAAACAGCGAAAGGATTCTGGTCCCATTTCATTATGCAAGATTCTGTATTCCTTATTCCACTCTGTGGAATATTCTGAGCTTGGAAAAGTAGTTTTTCTTTTTAACAACCCCCTCCTGAATCCCCTGCTGACTTAGCACTTTTAGAAATGGTAGTCCAAAAAAGCAACTTTTCCAAGATCTCATTTTATTCTTCTCACAACTGATGTTTTTTGAACACTCACATTGAAAAGTATGATTCACTTTATGATATTCGTAGTATCAGAAAGAAAAAGGATTGCAAGAGTGTTCTATCAAGCCTGTTTTCTTCTTTATCTAGTTTTGCCACCTGTTCAAACACCTAACTAGGCTGTTAAGGGATCAACAGTTCTGCAAGCATTTCTCTATTGCACATTCCTGTGTTGAACATGCATAGTACCCATAACCAACCAAGTTATTTTAGTGTGGTATCTGAGGTAGAAAATCCCACTAGCGATTAGTAATTAATACTAATAGCCTTCGAGAATACCATACTAATATTATTATTAGTAACAACAACTAACACGACCTAAAGCTGTATTTCCAAGATTTGCATTAGATCACAAAACTGAAAGTAAACTAAACAAACTAAACTAAACTAACTCTACATATACAGTACTATATATAGGTAGGCCACTGGACACCCTCCCATTTCAACCATCAAAAATGCTGTCATGTCAATAACAACACCCATAAATTATACAAGCATAGATGGCAAAAAAGTATGTGAGAGTATACGCAAAGATACATGCATATACATGTGTGTATTTTTTTTAAAAAAAGAGACTCTTGCAAGACACCAAAGCCATTTGCATTGGATCATTGCTTGTCTGCCATTATCCTTAATCGGTTTCTGAATCCATCACAGGCAGTTGGTTGACAGATGGCAAGTAAGGGACACAGAGCAAAATATGATCCTTTTATAACAATATTCACTTGTTTTAAAAGGAGATCTCAGGGCTGCTATGGAAATAGAGGTAGCCATGGCAATGGTAAACAACCAAGAACGGCCAGTGAATAAGCTGAAAAGAACATCTGCCCCAGCAAAGCGTCCCAGCTGCCCTAGGGCAAAACTTGCTAATCGTGTAGTGATGCTGCGTGACAGAGAAAGCCGCCTATGCCATGTTCAAATAAATGAAGTGTGCAATTGAAGCAGACATAAAAATGCACACCCTTGCTAACTGCTGCTTGTGTGCTGCTAAACTGAATGACTAATGGACTCATTTTTGAGGTGGGGGATGAGAAGGAGAAAAATACTTGTCACTATTTATACTAAATTACATACCACAAAATTCAATTTGCTGCTAATAGCTTCTTGGCACTTTATTTAGGATATTATGTTGGAAAATTACATTTTAGTGTTAAAAATACATATTTCATATTTGTTACAAATGCAGTTCAATTTCAAGGGTAATAATGTAATGGAGTATAAAGCCCTACAATCTGTTCATAAATACAGACTGCACGCAGTGTAAAAGATTGTAATGGCTATTTCTGTCTCTGTCTCTCTCACAGACACAACATAGGCACATGATCCTTCAACACTGATGGATTTATTTTTCTGACGTCCATGCTACCATCCTTTAAAGATGATGCTTTCACACTCTCTAATAGAAACAAAAGGGGGGACACTGAGAATCAATGAGGAGGTACACTCTGGGCCATCCCAAGAGTTCCAGAACCACAACTCCTCTTCTGTGTCATGCAATTGTGTCAATTGACAAAACAAAATGAAAACTCAAGCATGGGGAGAGGAACGGTTTTTTTGAGATCATAACAGTTTAGAGCAGCCATTCCCAACCTTTTTTGGGGGGGCCATGGCTATAAACACAATATGAAAGAAATATAGGCTGAATCTGGATCGTATAATTTGCATAACAAACCTTATAAGGTATGTGTGAAGAACTGTTTCCAGTCTGTGGTCCCCTTCAAATGTGCCAGGGCCCCCAATGAAAATGGCTGATTTAGAGCATCATAGAGGATGTCATACCTGTCTAGAACCCTGAATAGGAACACTCCCCTTAGAGTATTTTATTGCGAATCTCACCTGTATTGTGCTAATTTCCAAAACAAAATGAAAGAACACACACAGTCAGGTGTAATGAGTGTTGCAACTATTCTGACTTTAGAGTTATTCCTGTTTCAGAAGCTTTTAAGTGACCATGTGCCCAGCTGCATATGTTTTTCAGTTTTTATACACCTCTACAGATTCAAAGTTTGCAATAACTGAGAAGAGCTCCTTACACACACTAAGGTGTCTTGGCTGATGACAGAAGAATATCTGACAAAGCTATAAAAGAGATAATGTAGAACAGCTGCTCTCAAAAGAATTACAGAAAGTGCAGGAGGCTGTGATGCACACAGAAAAATAGTCCGCAGCACACAGCAGGTCTTTAAATAAAGATTAGGATGTCGTTGTTCCACATCTGGATCTCATCTGTAATACCATAATACTGCACACCCTGAACACCAGATCCATGATCAGTTTCTATGGTATACTCACTCACCTGCTACTGCTTAGTAGTACTACATGATGTAACAGAATAATGCAAGAAATAGGGAAGGAAAAAGAACAAGTCCAGGGTGGAGGAGAGGGCTCCTAAGAATCCTAAGGAAAAGTCCTTTGGAGGTATCTTAAAAGATAGAGAATAAAAAACTTTCAGAGAGGTAGCCTCATTAGTCTGTTTCCGCATCAACGAGACGAAAGCAAAAACAAAAGTATTATAGCACCTATAAGGCTAACAGAACCATGTGAGTTTTTATGGATTCTAATCCTTTTCTACAGAGGCAGGGGAATAAAAGGATGATTAGAATATCAGGCTGTACATATGTTCCAGCAGTAGGTGTCCTCAAAGAGAAACTTTGAAGGTGAAAGAAGAAATAATGTGAGTTTCACGTGCAGATTGCCTCTACATTGTTGCCTCTGGGCACTATTCCTGACTGTACAATCACCCACAACATCATGAGGCCTAAAGCAGGAAGAAGCCTCTCAGATGGAAGGGGATGGAGATGATGGTGACAGCAGTTGCCTTTGCAGTGGAACACACCCTTCTGTTTCACAATGAGTGTGTGGTGGCCCAGGCAAAATATTCTTAGTCACTTTCCAGATGGTACTGCCTCATGTCTTGCAGAGTTTTTGACCAATCCACCAAGCAACAGCTACTGTACCTCATGCAGCGCTCTGCTCCTTCAAAATGCACTACTTCCACAGATAGTGTTTTAGCCTTCACCTCTGTACAGAGTACCACTGACTGTTGTGGTTACATGCTGACAAGTCACTTCCAACTTACTGCAACCCCATGAATTAAACCTCTAAAAGGTTCTACCATTAAGGACTCTGTCTAGGTCTTGCAAACAAAAGGTCATGGCCACTTATTTGCTTTTCTGATGGTGGACAGTATCTGTAAAACTCTCTTCTGTCAGCTTTCTTCACTGTCCTGCTTTCATATCCATACATAATAATGAGGATTCTTACAATACATTGGTGCCTCGCAAGATGAGCGCCCTGTTTAACAATGAAATCGCATCACGACGAACTTTTTGCGATCGCAAAAGTGATCGCTTTACAAAGTTTTAAATGGGTTTTGTTTGCATTGCGATGATCGGTTCCCTGCTTCAGGAACCGATTCTCGCAAACGAAGATTTTCCTACAGCTGATCGGCGGTTTCAAAATGGCCACCGGGTTAAAAAAATGGCTCCCCGCTCTTTCCTGGGATGGATTCCTCTCTGCACGGGCAGCAAAAATGGCCACGCTATGGAGGATCTTCACTGGACGGTGAGTTTCAAGCCCATAGGTCATCTCTATAGGTTATCAATGTTTTACTCCTCTCCTCTCTGAATCTGAACTTACTTATTACTGAAAGCAAAAGTTGTCGAACAAATTAACATCGTAATGCGAGACACCACTGTATATATTATCTTGGCCCTGGTCTCTAACAACACAACTTTACTCTTACATATCTTTTCCCGTTTCTTCACAGCTAGCCTTCTAAGTCCCAGTTTGATTCATCATTGGACCAAGATACAGACATTTTTAAACAAACCCGATTTCTATACTGCCAACATTAAAGTTACATAATTTTTCTATAGTCATTATTTTTGTCTTCGTAATGATTAGTAGTAGCACTGCTTTTGCACTTTCTTCTTTCAGTTTCCCCAATAGTTGTTTCACATCACTGTTATTTTCTGCCAGTAATTCTGTCATCTCTATAGGTTATCAATGTTTTACTCCTCTCCTCTCTGAATGTGAACTTAAAGTTGTTACATTATATCAAACCTGTG